AGCGACAGAACCTCTCTCTTTTTGCATATGTAGTAATGTTATAACATCATAACGTTGTAAAAAAAGAAAATACACCGGGAGCTATAGGGGAAGAGAAGAGCAGGGAGGAGAATGAAGAAACAACACAAACACGTGGCATCAAAACTTGCCCGCCCAAAAAGAAAGAAAGAAAGGAAAGGAACTTCCTGGACGGGTAATTGCATGCAGAAGGCTACATGAACACTCGCTGCCTGTTTTGTTCCAACATTGTAACATCGGTATATTATAATGGGGGGGGGGGGAATTGCATCATAACACAATCAATTTTATGTTAGAAAAAATTAGTGGATCATTCAGGACAACCTTAGGAGGATCGGAGGGGGGTGAACACGCAACACTGATGACACAAGAGGGAAACAAAATTCTAAATCGAGAATTCCTCACTGGAAAACTGCGAGTTCGGATCTGAAGGGGAAAAAAATGTGGGAAAAATGGATTAGGAAAACAGGGTAACGAGGCACTACATTTGGATGTACTCCTGGGGAGGCAAAAAGTTGTGCGGAAAGTGGAACTGTCTATTTCCTGCTTCCTTTTCCTGTTCCGCTGCTGCTGTTATGTTGCAGCTTGCTTTGCCAGACTTTCTCAATCGCACAGGAGACATAGATAGGCAAGCCTCTCCTGTGCAATGGATAGAGTCTGGTAAAGCACTGGCTGAGGCTCCTCCCCCTCCTCCTCCCGGGGGAGGGAGGGAACCAGCCCGAGCTGGCTTCCTGGCCAGGCTATATACAGGAGACAAAGGGAATACTTTTTTTCCTTCCACTGGCTGAGGCTCCTCCCTGAAAGGAGGGAGGGAGGGAGAACTTGCTTTGCTGGCCTGCCTCAATCACATGGGAGAAATACCAGGCACCTTTAAGACCAAAAAAGTTTTATTCGAGATATGATCTTTTGTGTGCCCTGCTATAGTGTGTCTGTGCTTCGTTGGCTCCTTATGCTGTGTGTGTGTGTGTGTGTGTGTGTGTGTGTGTGTGTGTGTTGGGCTCCTTATGTCCGGGCTCTCTTGGATGCAACTGAGTTCCCTCCCCCTTTTTACTGTATTTATGCCCTCATGATCTAGTCTTCCTCCCCCATATCACTGTATTCATGCCCTCATGATCCAGTCTTTCTCAGTAAGAAAGCAATGTGAACTGTTTCAGAGGAGGAATCCAGTGAAGTGGATTAGGCTGAGAGTGTGTGTCCAGACCAAGTTCACCCAGGACATTTCCTTTGTAGGAAGTTGTAGTTATTATGCAGAGCCAGTTATTATGTAGAGCCGGTTTGGTGTAGTGGTTAGAGGCACAAACTCTAATCTGGGAGAACCGAGTTTGATTCTGCACTCCTCCGCATGCACCTGCTGGTGTGACCTTGGGTCAGTCATGGTTCTCTCAGAGCTCTCTCAGCCCCACCTACCTCACAGGGTGTCTGTTGTGGGGAGGGGAAGGGAAAGGAGTTTTAAGCCACTCTGAGACTCCTTCAGGTAGTGAAGGGTGAGGTATAAATCCAATGTCCTCCTATTATTATTATTATAATTATTAGTGTGACGTCCTCCTTATTGGGGAGGACTAGTTTCCCTTTAAAAGTTCTCTTTATTTTGTTTAACTGGGTAGATTCTGCTGCCACCAGGAAATTTTAAGGATTTCCAAACCTTTATGCTTTTACTTTTGCTCTTACTAGTTTGGTAGACCGAGTTTAAGGCTTACGAGGAACTATGTGGTCCTGGGAAGTATTTCATTCAGAGCTGGTATAAACTTGGATAAAAGAGGATTTATTGAAATAAATACTAAATAAGAGGGTGATACAATGTAACTAGTAATGTGTTAATGATGTACAATTGCTTTGGTATCACACTCAATCTTTTCCCTCACTGACAGGGATCTTTTCATGTAACTTTGTAACACTTGTTTATCTCAATGCCATATATGTTCACTGTTTCACTCCAGTTTGTTATGACACTCAGACTTTCCTTTAACTTTTCTTCACTTAAACTTTACTTTTTCCTATACACTCAGCTTTCAGCTCTCTTTCTCTTTCTCTCTGAACAACCTCAGCTGTCAGCTTCTAACTGCTTCAACACAGAACTGACTGAACACATCAACTGTCAACTTGTAACTGTAACTCCTGACTGACTCACATACTCATCCAACCAGATTCACTTCCAAAACCCCTCCCCCTCTCTGTCAACCACCAATCATACCACACTTGCCTCTCTCAACCACTCTAGTCTATCTACCACAGCCATGCAACCAAACTTTTAAAGACAAACACACACACAAACAAGGAATCATTACAATTAGTTATTATTCTTATTATTTCTCTGGAGAAGACTATAGTTTTGTAGATAAACAGCCCTCAGTCTGTATCAGGATGCCTTCTCACGTTCATTATTTATTGATTTAATTAATTTATATCCCACCTTCCCCGCCAGAGCAGGTTCAGGGCAGCTTACATACTATTATAACAAGATAAAACAATTATATCCTTCTTAAATTGTGGTGCCCAAAACTGAACACAATACTCTAGGTGAGGTCTAACCAGAGCAGAGTAAAGCGATACCATCACATCACGTGATCTGGAAACTCTGCTTCTGGTGATATAGCTCAAAATTACATTTGCCCTTTTAGCTACTGCATCACACTGACGATGCATATTCAGTGTATGGTCTACTAAGACCCCTAGAACCTTTTTGCACATCCTGCCAAGACAAGTCTCCCCCATCCTGTAATTATGCATTTGGTTTTTCCTGCCTAAATGCAGAACTTTATATTTATCCTCATTGAAATTCATTTTATTTGTTTTAGCCCAGTTTTCCATCTTGTCAAGATCATCCTGTATCCTGACTCTGTCTTCTACTGTATTTGCTACCCCTCCCAATTTAGTATCATCTGCAAATTTAATAAGCATTCCCTCTATCCCTTCATCCAAATCATTGATAAATATGTTGAACAAAACAGGTCCCAGCCAGGACATATCCCTGAGGCACTCCACTTGTCACTGCTCTCCAAGAGGATGAGGAACCAATAACAGCCACTCTTTGGGTGCAGTCTATCAGCTAGTTACAGATCCACCTAACGGGAACAGGATCCGTTATGTTTGTATGTATAAAATAGGGGGAAGTGCAGTATAGTAGGGCTTAGCATCTCAGACTAGGACTAGCTAGATCCTGGTTAGGGTTTCCAACTGCCTGGAGAAAAATGTTTTGTCCCTTTTATTTACCTTCATACCATTAAAAGCTTCAATGACTCATTTCACAAGTCTCTGTTAAAGGGACAGGTGTTGGTCCACAAATTTTATCAAGTATTTTTGTTGAAACAACATACCTTAAAGATAAGAAACTGGGTTTTAACAATAAAATAACAGAATTAGAAAATGTCTTAATGTATACAGGGGGGGAAATGATAAAGAAAATTTATAAGATCTTATTACAGGATATAATGTTAGATGAAATTATTAAGAAAAATATGATTGCATGGATTCAGAATTTAGGCTACACTGTGAATTTAGAAGATTGGGAGCAAATATGGATGAAAAACGTTAATATGACTAATGCTGTTGCTTATAAAGAAAATATGTATAAGATGTTTTATAGATGGTATGTTACGCCAGATAGGTTAGCAAAGCAAAGTAGTAAGTGTTCAGATAAATGTTGGAAGTGTAAAAACAAGGTAGGCACATTTTATCATATGTGGTGGTTATGTGATGTCTCCAAAATTTTTTGGAAATGGGTACATTGTATGATGGAAAAAATAGTAAGATGTAACATCCCCTTTACTCCAGAATTGCTTTTGTTAAATATCTTTCCGAAAGAGTTTAAGGAAACGGATAGTTACTTGATTGTATATGTCAACGGCAGCAAGGATATTATAAGCCAAATATTGGAAGACCCAAGAAACACCAACTAAACAAGAATATATTAATAAACTATTAGAAGCGGCGGAAATGGACAAATTAACCATGGAAATGAGAGGTACAAAGAAATGGACATTTCAAAAAATCTGGAAGAGACTATATGATTGGTACAATGAGAATGGATTTAAAGATTTAGCTGATATGGCAAAATTAACATTGGAGTGTGTAGCAATATATAATAATGGAGCTAGAGAATATTAACAAATGATAGAGAACAATGAAGCAATGATGTAGATGTAGTAACAAATTGTAATAAGTCTCTTGGCCTATATGTTGTTTGTTGTAGTTGTTTATGTCTCTGTGTAGGTATATAAGAAAACAATAAAGGTGTACCTTCGGGTACTTTAAAAAAGAAAGAAAGTATTTTTGTTGAAACCATCCAGCAACCCTGGCTGTTTCCAAAAGCTGCTCCACTCAGATCTTAACAAAATAGTCGGAGAGTGATTCAGCAAGAACACAACTTTATTCTTCAACTCAAACACAACTACAGCATGGATCAACATCTGATAGCCAGAACAGCCTTTACATTGCAGCTGTCCTGCTTTTAAACATTCCCAGCTAATGTAGCCACACCCACTGTACAAATATCAACCTATGAGGTTGCAGAGATAAGGTCCAATCACATTAGTTCCCGCTCAGGGAGCTTGCTTGAAGTGATTGGCTGGTTACTTCCTGGGCTAGCAATACTATTGGATGGATTTGGATCCTAGCCCAGGACGAAGCTTAACATTACAGTTCAGTTAGATGTTTCACAACATGTCACGCATTCAAGGCAGCTCTGAATACACTACAGGTCCCACCCACATCAGCACCATTATCCATGGAGGGAGGGGCTGGTGGTGGGAAGGCACCCTCCCAACATTTTTTTGCAGGCTTTAAACAACAACAGTATACTACAATAAGGATCTATTACCACTTATCCATTTCCATTTCAAATTTTAGCTTCCCTGAATTCTCAGTTTTCATTTGAAGAAAAGGAAGTCCACAGCCCTTCTCGTTGTGGAGTTGTAAGGTCTGAACCGGGCTTAATTTGCCATGATGCATTTCCCGGGCTGAGAGCACTTCTTCTCTTTCTCCAGGGGCTGTTGAGCTGTCCCGCCAGAGTCCATTTGCCTCCTGGGTGGTGGCCATGCTTTACTGCTTTGGCAGCTACATCTTGGCCGACCTGCTCCTCGGAGAAGCCCCCATCGATTACTTCAGCAACAATTCCAGCGTGCTTCTGGCCACGGCTGTCTGGTGAGCCCATTCCCCCCGGCATTCGGCCTTGTCTGTTTCTTCGGCAGGCAGCTGAAATTCTGTCGGCTCTCTTGCCATGCATTTGAAAAAAGGAAGGCAAAAATATGGTCCGGTTAAAGTGGCCACATGAGCCATGAAGCACCCGCAGCAGAGTTGCTAGTGACGAGCACCCCAGCCCCTCCCCCACCTCCCAAAGCTCTCATCATTCCTGGGGGGGGGAGGCACGAGGAGGACAGATGCTGCTGTGACCCCCCCTCTCTGCTTGTGCTGAGAATCGACATATTTCCCTCATCATTCCTGGGGGTGAGGCGCTCATTGCCCCCGGCGGGCCTCTTCTCTCAATGAACTCCAACAGGGAAAGGAGCAGACGGAAGGAGAAGGGGAAGGCAAACCAAAGGGTTTTTTTTTTTCCTTTTTCTTCCAGGTATCTGACTTTCTACTGTCCCCTGAACCTCTTCTACAAGTGTGTGACGTTCCTGCCTGTGAAACTGATCTTTGTAGCTATGAAGGAGGTAGTCAGAGTCCGCAAGATCGCTGCTGGGGTCCACCACGCCCACCACCATTACCACCAGGGATGGCTGATCATGGTTGTCATTGGGTTTGTCAAAGGTAGGCCTGTGTTTCCCCCGACAGCACTCCTGTTGATCAGGGTATTGAAAGAATCATAGAATCATGGATTCAGAAGGGGCCATACAGACCATCTAGTCCAACCCCCTGCCCAATGCAGGACCAGCCTAAAGCATCTCTGACAAATATTCGCCCAGCCTCTTCTCGAAAGCTGTCAGTGAAGGGGAGCTCACCCCCCCTCCCTAGGCGGCTGATTCCACCTTTGAACCACTCTGAGGTTTTTCCTAATATCCAGCCGATACCTTTCTGCATGTAATTTAAACCCGTTGCTTTGGGTCCTATCCTCTGCTGCCAACTGGAACAGCTCCTTGCCCTCCTCCAAATGACAGTCTTTCAAATATTTAAAGAGAGCAAACATGTCCCCCCTCAATCTCCTCTTCTCCAAACTAAACATCCCCAGGGCCCTTAGCCTTTCCTCACAGGGCTCACTCTCCAGACCCCTGATCATCCTCGTCGCTCTCTTCTGCACCCTCTCGATTTTGTCCACATCCTTTTTGAAGTGAGGCCTCCAGAACTGCACACAATACTCCAGGTGCAGCCTGACCAAGGCAGTATACAGAGGGGCTATGACCTCCTGCGATTTTGATGCTATGGCCCTTTTAATACAACTGAAGACTGAATTTGCCTTTTTTGCCACCTCATCACACTGACTGCTCATATTTAGTTTCCACCCTTACTCCAAGATCTCTTGCGCATACACTACTCCCCAGAAACATATCCCCCATCCAGTATTTGTGCTTGACATTTTTGTGGCCCAGATGTAGTACTGTGCATTTATCTTTGTTGAATTGCATCCTGTTTGCAACTGCCCACTTCTCCAGAGTATTCAGGTCTTGTTGAATTTTAACTCTTATCTTCTTGGGTGTTTGCTACTCCTCCCAATTTGGTTTCATCAGCAAATTTAATGAGTAGCCCTTCTACCCCTTCATCCAGATCATTGATAAAAATATCAAAAAGTACCAGGCCCAAAACCGAGCCCTGTGGCACCCCACTGGACACCTCCCTTCAATCTGATGAAACGCCATTGACCACCACTCTTTGGGTGCGGTCCTCTAACCATATATCTATCCACCAAACTGTCCTATAGTCCAGTCCACAGTCTTCCAGTTTGCCCATCAGAATGTCATGGGAACCTTATCAAAAGCTTTACAGAAATTCAAGTAAATCACATCAACAGAGTTCCCACGATCCAGTAAGCTCATCACACGATCAAAGAAGGAAACCAGGTTGGCCTGACAAGATCTGTTGGGGACAAAACCATGCTGACCAATGTTCCCTCTAAGCTGTGGAGTCTTGTGAGCAAAAATTCTACTTTGTGAGCCACTGGAATTAAAGTTGTGAGCGAGCGATTTGGCTGCTGCATCAATTAGTTTGCTCTGGAGCCATCCTCCCTGAGCTAAGACAAAAATGTGTGAGCCGGAGGCTAAAAAACTGTGAGCTAGCTCACACTAACTCAGCTTAGAGGGAACACTGATGCTGACTTCCCCGGATCGCTAAGTGATCCTTCAGGTGCTTGCAGATCGATTCCTTTAAAATCTGCTCTAATATCTTCCCAGCGATAGAAGTCAGACTGACCGGCCTGTAGTTTCCCAGGTCATCCTTCTTCCCTTTCTTAAAGATTGGGATAACATTCACTCTTCTCCAATCTTGTGGCACCTCCCCAGTCCTCCAGGAGGCCTTGAAGATGATGGACAGAGGCTCTGCAAGTTCATTAGAAAGTTCTTTGAGCACTCTTGGGTGCACACCATCTGGCCCAGGGGTTTGTATTCGTCCAGTGCAGCCAGGTGCCTCTCCACAACCTCCCTATCAATGTCAACTGGACACTCAGGTGTCTTATTATGTCCATCTCTAGATGGGCTTGAGTTCTTCTGGGAGAAAACAGAGGCAAAAAAGTAATTAAGCCTGTCTGCTTTTTCTCTGTTCTCCACCAGAGTTTCTCCTTCTACTCCCAAAAGTGGTCCAATTGCCTCTTTTACCTTGCGTTTGCTTCTCACATATCTGTAGAAGTTTTTCTTATTGTAGCGGGGGGCCCTGGCCTGACCCAACTCATACTGAGCTTTGGTTACTCTGATGGCTGATCTGCAGTACCTAGTAACTCTCATGTACTCCTCTTTAGAGGGCTGACCTTCCCTCCATTAACTTTTTCTCCCTTAGCTTATTCTGAAGCTCTCGGTTCATCCACATCGGTTTCTTGGAGCCCTTGCCATGTTTCCGTCTTGCTGGAATAGTGAGGACTTGAGCTTGCAAAAGCTCATGTTTGAGAAGAGCCCACCCTTCACTCGCTCCTTTCCCTTCCAGCACACTCCCCCACGGAATGGTTCCCATCAAACCTCTGAGTTCATTGGTCGGCCCTACGAAAATCTAACCTACGAATCTGGCTATGAACTTCCTTGAACCCCCCACAGCAACTGGAATTCAAGGAGGACATGGTCACTTCCCCCCAAGGACCCCACCACCTTCACCCCATCTACCAATTATTCCCTGTTGGTTAATATTAAGTCTAGTATGGCTGAGCCCCTTGTAGCTTCATCCACCATTTGAAAAAGGAAGTTTTAAATGAAGCAGTTGGCCTGTTGCAGAGTGGTTCATGCTGTGGGGAGGCTTTCCAGTGAGGTCTGCCCTAGAAGGTGCCGGGAGATGCAGAAGTGTAAGGAGCAAAAGCAGATGTGCCTCTACAACCCTGCAGCATTGCCCCAGCCTTGTCAGTGGGGGTGCTAAAACAGAGGAGGGGAGAATGTGTTCTTGGAAATGAGCCAGAAGGACTGGAAAGGACACCGTAGCTCTCTGTCCTTTCCCAGGCAGACTTCTGGCATTCGCCCAACTGGCAAGCAGAATTCTGAGATTACAAGCATTTTCAAACTTGGCTTTGTGACCATGAGGGTTAGAAACTCCCCCACTCTCTTTTAAAAAAAGTACTGAGGTCCCCAGAATTGTAAGCAGAGCCCTTGGTTGAGGATGGAGCTTAGCAAATACTTTCCCTTGCAGGGTCAGCCACATCTGGGCCATTGGGACGTAATATTCTCTCATTTCTCAGGTTCTGGAGTTGCCTTGATGTCAAATTTTGAGCAGCTGCTGCGTGGAGTCTGGAAGCCAGAAACTAATGAGTTTCTCCACATGACTTTGTGAGTAGAAAGTCCAGACCACGGCTGGATCTGCCACAGTGCAGCTCTGGCTTGATCGGATGCATCTTTACATCTTCTCTTTCTTGGGAAGGCCTATGAGGAGTTTGCCAATGGGCCTCTCAGGCTGTTTGAAATAGGCAGCATATGGACCTTCCAGGAGGGGAGGGAAACTTCTCTGTAGTCTCAGAGGCTTTTTCCACATATGAACTTTAAGGACCTTAGATTGTGGGCTGGTACATCAATCAGGACGCACACTTACTAAAACCCAGAGGAACTGAGCCCCTAGGAGAGGCCTCCTGATATGTGGCTCTTTCACAACTGGCTGGAAGCAGAATTTTAAAATGGCGGCTCCGCAAGGCACTGAATATAATGCTCTGTTCCCCATAACAATCTCACAGTCCGCCCACATGGGCAGGATGCTAAGCCTATACCATTTGATGATTCTGTAGGACTTGCCCATGCTCAGTCACCCCCTTTGGGGCATTTATAAGCATTTCCTGCTTCTCTCTGGGCCAATCCCCATCCAAACAGCCTTTCGGCTCTTCCTGTATTCTTCCTGTTGCTGTGGGCCTTGCAGCTGTTAACAGGAAGAGCAAGCCAGGGGAGCGAGGTACTTGCCATGTGAATGAGCATTGGCCCACAGACACATTGGACCAAAAATTGGGGGGGGGGACGATACTTTGAAGTTGTGTGCGTCAAACCCCCTCAGTCAGACTTTGGCACTCCAGAGTCAAGAAGTCACAAAGACGTACACATGCACAGCTCTGAACTGGAGTTTTCTGTTTGGAAATTCAGTGAGAGGATTATCAGATGGTGTCAATCCAGTGTAAGGCCAACTCTGCTTCTTAGGCAGAGCGCACAGTTGGGCAGAATGGGCTTTTCCAAAGGTGGTGTCCTCCCTTCTCCTTTAAGGCTGGGTAAGGGCCACCATTGATTTATTTATTAATTTATTATTGTATTTGTAGCCCACCCTCCCTGCATAGCAGGCTCAGGGCAGGTTCCACAGATGACAGAGTCAGCACCCGTGCTGCTGCATTCTGCGCTAGCTTCAGTTTCCGAAGCAGAGCCAAGGACAGCCTCACGTAGAGAGAATTACAATAATCCAATCTGGAAGTGGGTCACTGTAGCCAAATCTCGTGGGGTGAGATATGGGGCCAACTGCCTGGTCTGTCTTAGATTGCAAAAGGCAGACCTGGCAGTGGCGGCGACCTGGGCCTCCACCCCCAGGCGCTTCACCATTGAAGTTGGCACCAATGGGGCCCCATCAAAGGTTGGGAGCCCGATTCCCAATCCCAGTCCCCCATGACTGAGGTGCAGGACCTCTGTCTTTTATGGGTTCAATCTCAATCTGATCAAGTAGCAGTCCATTAGTAGACAGAGCTGGGTGTCATCAGCACAGTAGTGGCAGCCCAGCCCATACCTCCAGATAATCTGGGCGAGGGGGCACGTATAGATATTAAACAACATGGGGGAGAGAATTGCTCCCTGCGGCACACCACATTCCAGTGAGTGTCGCTGGGATAATTCCCCCCAAGCTTCACCCTTTGTCCCCAACCTTGGAGAAAGGAGGTCAGCAAGGCAAGCCCCCTTATCCCCACATCGGCAAGACAGTGGGTTAACAGATCATAGTCAACCATATCGAATGCCGCCAACAAATCAAGGAGTATCAGCAGCACCGATCCGCCTTGATCCAGATGTCTCCGGAGGTCATCCTCCACCACGACCAACACCATCTCTGTCCCATGGGCAGGGTGGATACTGGACTGGAAGGGAATCCAGGATATTAGCATCCTCCAGAAAAAACTGGAGCTGTGTCACCACGGCCTTCTTCTCTACCTTACCCAGCAATGGTAAATTAAACACTGGGCAGTAGTTAGTAAGGACCATAAGGTCCAAAGTTGTTTTTTTAAGGAGAGGACGGTTCTACCAGCCTTCCACTAGCTCCTCCAATGGGCTGCCAGGGGGAATCAAATCCCATAGAGCTTCCTGGAACCTACAGGGGTTCATTAGAATCTGTGTTCAAGCATAAATTCGCTCCCCACCTAAACAGGGAGGGTTAGGAATGCCCAGGAATGTTTCAGGGCAAGGTGGTCCAACCATGGTACTGCATCAGCAGTAATTTGGTCCACCATAATCCCCAAAGCAAAGATAAGCTCTAGCATGTGGCCTGCTTGATGTGTGGGAGCCAAAACAAACTGGATGACACTAGGTCTCTCCCTGGCCTGAGAGGAGGCCGTATCACCTGCATGTACATTGAAGTCTCCCAGACCCAATAATCTGGGGTACTCCAAAGCCCAGCCTGATACAGCCTCCAGCAGGCCTGGCAGGGCATTTGCTGGTGCGTTAGGTGGATGGTACACCAGCCAAATGGCCAAACTCTCCTCGGCCTCCCACACCAGGCCCACTCATTCAAGCCCTGCAATCTTTGTCCCAGGGAGGTTCCCAAAAGAGAAAGCCTCTTGGATGAGCAATGTCACTCGCCCCCACACACACACTGCCCGTTAGTCCGGGTGAAGGACCAAAATACCTGGAGGGGCCGGTTGACTCAGGGCAACTGTTTTGCCCTCCCTCACCCAGGTTTTGGTCACACAAGCCAGGTCTACCGCCTGCTCTACTGGATAATTCTGTATAACGGAGGTTTTATCGTTGATAGATCTGGCATTGCACATTCCCTATCCCCTACACCATGATCCTTCACCACCTCAGGTGTAGCAGAGAGGGAACCGTGGGTGTTGGGTGCCTGTTGAAGAGGTTGTGTGAATGGTGCAGAAATCAAGTGCTTCCTAGGAAAGGCAGATAGGGACAAATGCTGGATTCTTTGAGAAGATGGTTGGGAGGGAATGCGCTCAGTTGAGATACGAGCCCAAGTCTGACCCTCCCTTTCATCCCCCATTTTCCTTGAAGCCCATCCAAAGCCAGTCTGTACGGAGCCATACTCTTCACCCTGCAGCAGACACACTGGATGCCAATCTCCAAAGACAGCCTCATCTTCTTCTTCACACTCTTCATGATCTCTTGCAAGGTGAGCCTCTCTGGGGGCTCTGTGGGAGGGAGAAGCTGGGGGGACCTTTCCAGCTCCTGGGGAGGGCACCGTGTACAGAAGGGGAGAGCTCTCCTTTCTAGGCTGTATAGAACTGGGCACCTGGTTTGATTGATGGGCAAAAACACATTTAGCCCACCTTTCAATCCACAAACAGGTCCTGAAGGTGATCTGGTGGTGGTGGAGGAGGAGGAGGAGGAAGGTGCCGTCAAGTCACAAAGGCAAGAGACATTCAGAGGCTGTTTGCCATTGCCTGCCTCTGTGTAGCAACCCTGGACTTCCTCAGTGGTCTCCCATCCAAGTACTAACCAGGGCTGACCCTCCTTAGCTTCTGAGATCTTACAAAATCAGGCTAGCCTGGGCCATCCAGGTGTGGGTCAGGGTGGTCTACCGTACTTTAAACAATGGGATCCATGATGCTCCAGTAAAAACCATTTCCCATTATAGGCAAAAACTGGTTGGGCAGTTCCACAACACGGTCTTGAGCAGTCTCCTACCCATATTCTAAAGCATCATGGATAGAGTCTGTGGGCTCCTTCCATAGCTGGTAAGATGATGACTGAGGCAGAGAAGTTTAGACAGGCCATTCTGTGGCCAGAAGTCAGCTCCCCAAAGGGAAGTCCCTGTTTCTGCATGTGTTGCTGGCCGCAGGTGTCCGAATAGAGCGTCTTGGTGTGGAAGGGTGAGCGTGGGGTCCTCTGTCAATGCAAAGGCCAGTGAAGGGCTGGAACATTCTGGAACAGCATGGCAAATGGGCAACGTTCAACAAGATTGCACTATGGGTGATGCTGCTTCTTCCAGATGGTGGTTTTTATTAATTAATTTATTTATTTATTAGATTTATACCCCGCCCTCCCCATGCAGGCTCAGGGCTGCTTACAAAAGAGGCAGATGCCATAACAACAGTTAAAACAACATAAAAACAATCATTAAACAGCATAAAACAATCATTAAATAAAGTGCGGTGCTCGTTGATGTTCAATCTTCTTAGTCCAAGATGGATTCCTTTTATCAACCTGGCCACCACGAGGGCTGCACCAAAGAGACGGTGAAGCATGATACCCCTCCGCTACTGAGATTAGGTGTGAAATGTCTAAATGGGTGTGCGGACCAAGAAGTGATTTTCCCATGGTTTTGACATTCCTGGAACCTAGCGGTGCTTCGCCCTTACCTGGATGGCCCAGGCTAGCCTGATCTCAGAAGCTAAGCAGAGTCGGTCCTGATTAGTATTCGGATCGGAGACCACCAGGGAAGTCCAGGGTCGGTAGACGTAGGCAGGTCACGGCAGACCACCTCTGTTCCTCTCTTGCCTTCAAGCCCCGTTGAGGGGTTGCCGTAAGTTGCCTGCAACCTGATGGCGGCACTGTCCACCACCACCACCACCAGTGGTGTTTCTCCATTGCAGCAGTGCTACCAGAGAGGGAGGCCCACCTGGGCATCGGAGCGACTGACGAGTGGATGGTCTCTAGCGAAACTTTTTCCCCCTCCTCTTGCCCAACAGGTGTTCATGACGGCGTCTCACTCTCACGGCTCGCCATTTGCCCCCGTGGAAGGAGTGCTGTGTCCGATCCTCTTTGGCTCCGTGCCCCCTGGCCATGATGATCACCATCACGACCACCACCACGGGGGCTCCCATGAACCCACCTGTCCCCCCGCACCCTTGCTGCCGGCTAAAACACGGGACGAGCTGAACGAAGGCACCCGGAAGCGGAAAGCCAAGAAGGCTGAATGAGCAGTAGGCCGGGGGTCCCATCCGAACCCTCTGAGGCACCCGGGCTGCTCACGAGGATCTTCCATGGACATCATCTTGGGGGGGGGCCAGGAGGGCCCAGCGCCTGTCCAGATTTTCTGGCCTCCCGCTGAATGAGCAGTAGGCCGGGGGTCCCATCTGAACCCTCTGAGGCGCCCGGGCTGTTGGGCTCCTCACGGGGATCTTCCATGGACATCATCGTGGGGGGGCTGGAGGGCCCAGCACCTGCCCAGATTTTCTGGCCTCCCACCCTTGGAGTGTAAAACAGACTCCCTCCCTTTGCCTTCCCAACCCTGAGCAGTGGAAGAGCTGAAGGCTGCTGCTGGATTCCCACCGTGGTATAAATGACCAGGAGGAGCAGTCGAAGGCCCTGGGCAGCCTCTCCGCAACACCGCAAGCGGTGCCCTTCGGCTGTCTGGCACCAGCCAGCTACAGGGGGACTTGGCCCAGCTGGCTGCCATCTTCCCACATGTTGGTGCGCAAAGTCAGGGTTCTCCTCCAGAGAGCGGCATGTCGCTCTGCCGTGTGACCCACTTCCGAGGCTCCCCGCATCAGAAGGAAATGCGAGAAGCACCATCTGGTGTTGCTGCTGTTGCAGTGTGCTGTTGCTGTGCATGTGTGTGTGTGTGTGTATGTGAACAACAGCAGCTCCGGACTCAGATCCAGCTTGGTATTTAGTTAGGTCTTGGTTTCTGTGCAAAGCCACCCTAAGGCCCCCCCCCCCCCCCCCCCCACTAATCTAGCAGAGCAGCTCAGACCTGTTGGCCCTGGAAAGCCTGTTGCACCTCTTTTTCCTACGAAGAACAAGACAGGAGCATCACATGTCAGCTAGGCCCACGACCCCCTGAGTCTCTGTGCGGGGCACTTAAGTCACTGGCTCACAGGGGGGTGGCATAGCTGGAACCACACATAGTTCTGTTTCTGCCAGCTGAGCATCCCGCTGAGAGGACTTCACCAGACCCACTGCAAGTGCCCCCTTACCAGCTTGGGTGACAGTAAAATAAGCCTGGGCTTTAGCATCTAACCTTACTTAGAAACCTACATCTCTGGAATATGTGAATTGGAGTTCATGCAGATGCTGAAAGCTCCCTCCCTCCATGGAGAGAAGCCAGATACCTGCCCCTGCTCACCTGGCTTGAGTCCCAGTGACAAGTACACGAGTACAAGAGGGTATATCACAAACAGGGCTGTCTTGTAAACTGCAAACTGAAAACACCGTCTCAGTCCACAAGATGAAAAACAAATGGGACAAGCATATAACTGTAAACATAAGAACATAGACTCATAGACGTATAGAATGTTAGAGTTGGAAGGTGCCTTGCAGGTCATCCAGTCCAACCCCCTGCACTCCGCAGGAGCATACCCGAAAGATAGCCCTACAACATACCCGAAAGATGGTTGTCCAGCCTCTGCTTGAAAACGTCCAGCGAAGGAGCATCCACCACCTCCCAAGGCAGTCTGTTCCACTGCTCAACCACTCTTACAGTTAGGAAGTTTCTCCCTAATATTTAGCCAGTAACGACTCCCTTGTAATTTCCACCCATTAGATCTAGTCTTGCAATCCAGAGCAAGGGAGAATAGATCCGCTCCATCTTCTACATGACAGCCCTTCAAATATTTGAAGACCGCAATCATGGCCCCTCTAAGCCTTCTCTTTCCCAGGCTAAACATACCCAACTCTTTCAGCCTTTCTTCATAAGACGGATTCCAACCTTCTCACCATCCTGGTTGCCCTCTTATGTACATGCTCAAGCTTGTCAACATCCTTCCTAAAATGTGGTGCCCAAAACTGGACACAATATTCCAGGTGAGGCCTGACCATAACATAACATAAGAGAAGCCATGTTGGATCAGGCCAATGACTGCTAGGTTGGCAGGAGCTGGAACTAGAGACAGGAGCTCACTCCGTCATGCGGCACACTCGGGTCTTGAACTGCTGAACTACCAACCTTCCACAGCCTGCAGTTCAGCGTCTTAACCACTTGAGCCACCGCAGCTCCCTCATAAGAACATAGGAGAAGCCATATTGTATCAGGCCAATGACCCATGCAGTCCAACACTTAGTGTCACACAGTGGCCAAAAAAACAGGTGCCATCAGGAGGTCTACCAGTGGCCAGAACTCCAGAAGCCCTCCTGCTGTTGCCCCATAAAAAACAGCAAGAATACAGAGCATCACTGCCCCAGATGCCACTGATATAACAATAGTCATTGAATCAATAACAAATAGGTGTAAATGTAGGAATATATGATACATCAAAAAGGAGTTAATACAAATGACAATCTATGGATTGCCAGCCAAACTCCATTTCGCGTAGATTGCATAGATCATTCCTCTGTCATCCTGTTTATTTAATTGTTACGTTATTTTGCCTCTCATACAGCAGGACTGAGATACCTTTTTTTGGCTTCTTGTTTCGAATTGTGTTCCTGAGGGCAGCAGCCATGTCGGTCTGCAGTAGAAGAGCTGGATTCGAGTCCAGCAGCACCTCAGGGACCCACAAGATGTTCGGGAGAGGAGCTTTCAAGAGTCAGCAGCCCTCCCTGGTTGCTTTGAATTGGTGGCTGTTTAAAAACTGAACGAACAGGGTAACATGAAAATGGTCTCATGAAAATCTATGCAAAATGGAATTTGGCTGGCAATCTGTAGTTTGAGACATATATTTCTGCATCTATGCTGTTTATATTTCTGTGTTACGAGCAGGGCTATTTTTGGACAGGAATGCACAGGAACGGAGTTCCGGCTGGCTCCCAAGTTGGCCACACCCAGCAGGAACTCATTAGCATAACAGGCCACACCCAACAGCAGAAACTCATTAGAATTGGCTACATTAGGGGTGTGTGGCCTAACATGCAAAGGAGTTAAAAAAGCCCTGGGTTTTGACAACAAACAAGGTAAACAAAATAAGAAGCAAAAGGTGGGTGTGGCTGGATAGCCAAACTTGTGGTAACATGGGAATGCGGCTTAATATGCTAATGAGTGGTGCAGTCAGGGGTGTGGCCTAATATGCTAATGAGTTTCTGCTGCTGGGTGTGGCCTATTATGCTAATGAGTTCCTGTTGGACTTTTTCCACAAAAAAAGCCCTGAGTACATTGCAATTGAATGCCTGTCACATTTTTTTTTAATTGCAATTGTATGCTTCTCACATTTTTTTCATATTGCGGGTTCCAGTGGTGTTTTCAGTTTGCAGTTTGAAATACCCGCCCTGTTTTAGATATCTGCTCTTGTACTTTTGTTCTTTGTTTTTGCATTTCTTGAAGGTGTCCCTTTTTGTTTTCTCTGTTGTTCTCTGGTGGAGATCCTGGATGGCCGGGTTCACAGCAGGGCCAGAAGCAGAACCTTGTTGGCACTCTGACTGCCTTGGGTGGGAGTGCCCCCCCCTGCACAGGTTCTGGTCTGAGGGAGAGAGACTTGCCCCCCCCCGAAGGAGGGGCCTAACCCCCCCACAGCCAGCATCCCAGGAATCAGCCTGGCTCAAGAGGAGTCGGGTGGCTGCAAAGTGCCTTTTCTCCTGCCCCCGTAGCCATGTGTCAAATGCAAGCTGCGATTTCCCCGAAATAAAGAGCCTCTCTGCAGTGAAACCTTTGGAGGATTCTGTGCATTTGTTTCTCATTCTCCACAAAACTGGGGAGTAGGTGTGTGTTGTATGTGTGCACATGCACACACATCACCACCAGCCCCGATTCTTCTGAACCTCTATAGCTTCCCTTGGGTGCTGGCTTGTAAGGAACAGAATCTGGGGGGCGTGTGACGGCCATGGTGGTGGTGGCCAGTGCCATCAAGTCGCAGCCAACTTAGGGCAACCCCTCTTGGGGTGGTTTGCCATGGCCTGCCTCTGGGTAGTGACCCCGGACATCCTCGGTGGTCTCCCATCCACGTACTAACCAGGGCCGAACCTGCTTAGCTTCCAAGATCTGATCACAGCAGGCTTACCTGGGCCATCCAGGTGATGTGCATATTATGTCCTGTGGTTGTTTACTCAGAAGTAAATCCCTCTGATGTAGATTGTTGTCAAGTAAAACTGCTTAGCTTCCAAGATCTGATCACAGCAGACTCACCTGGGCCGTCCAGGTGATGTGCATATTGTGTCCTGTGCTTGTTTACTCAGAAGTAAATCCCTGTGATGTAGATTGTTGTCAAGTAAAAATGTGCAGCTGCACAACCTTAGATCGTTCCTTGGCTTCTGAGACCTGTCGGGCGACCATGCCAGCTTCACAAAAGCTGGGCGTGATATACCACATGATTTTCCCTAGGAGCTGTCTTAAGTGAATAAAGCCACCAGCATCACAATGAAGGTGTCTGCTGAAAGGGCCGTCCGTCGTAGCTGCGCTAGGCTTGAGTGAGGCCCGTATGGCATTTCCATACACTTTCAGGGTTCAAAGGAAGACAGACTGACAGAGGGAGGGCTTATGCTCAGCTGGGATGCATTGTGAAGCAGGGGTCCCCCCATAAATACTACCTGCAGCATTGTGGTGCTTTTATGCACACCTCTCGGGGTTTCTTTCCAAAACCTGCTTTACTATCTTTTTGAAAAGTCTGCAGCTAAGCAGGTGTGACTGCTATGGGAAAGTGTGGGACTTTCCTAGAGCTAGAGACTTTTTTAAAAAATGGAAGTCGGGGACCAGGAGGCCATGGCAATAAACTGTTGTAATACAATGGCTGTCTAGCAACACTTGATTATTTTGTTTTTTTAAAAAGCCCTTCAGTATGAAGGGGGGGGATGGCAGTAACTGGAGGCTGGAGCAGGGAGAATGGGGGGGGGGGGATACCTGCTGCCTGAAAGCCACCAGCAGCAGCAATAGAGAACTGCCCCTGCACAGGGAAGCCCAAAGAGCGGCTCGCCTGGGGTTGCCTGGGGAGTGTGGGCAATAAGGGCTTCCCCTCCCGCACACCTGACAGAGGCTGCGGTCACACACGCTAAACAATCCACTTTCAGTGCACTTTCCAACTGGATTTTACTGTGTGAACTGGCAAAATCCAGTTGGAAAGTGGATTATTTAGTGTGTGTGACCGCAGCCTTACTCCTGGTTTCCTTGTCACTCGATCCACAAGCACTGGAAGGGGTTCCGCCAGGGCTGTTCCTCCACACGTCTGCCCTCCGTC